AGAGAGAGAGAGAGAGAGAGAGAGAAGACAATATAGGCCGGATAGAAGGGCCTGTATTCACGGCAAAGTGAAGAGACAATGCACGCAGTCCAAAGAAATGAGCGACCCATACCAGAGTACACTGTTTGTTTGTCCATCTGTCTGTCACCCGCCAACCACCCACGAAGGTAGACAGATGTTTGATTGGAAGTAAAAAAAAGAGCAGAAAGAAACCACAATAGACCAACCGCCAATTATCTACTCGGCAACTAAAGATTTGTTTAGCTTTAGTAGGAGATGTACGGCTCTTGCAACACAATTAGGTCATAATATAAGTGCAAAAGATTAGAGGTGTTACAAGACAGTAGCAAACGCAAAAAAGAAGAAACAAGGTAAACGGATGTTTGATTGGAAGTAAAAAAAAAAAAAAGGAACAGAAATTCAAGGAACAAACCACACCAGAGCATCCGCCAACCACCCACTCCGCAGTTACAATAATAGACAGCATTTGTATAGCGCAAATCCCCGCTCAATAGCAAGCTCTATGCGCTTAATAGAAGACCTGAGAGCATTCTGAAACAACCTCAACTTCCTGGGAAGCATACAGTGCAAGAGGCCAATTATAGGCGCTAAAACACTGACATACTGACAAGATCATTCTCCGTCTATGGCCGGGTACCCATTCCCACCTGGGTGAAGTGAAAAAAATTCGTATAAAGTGCCTTTCCCAAGGACACAACGTCGGGCCTGAGGCTCGAATCCCTGAACCCGCAACCTCACGAATACGAGTCCCGTTAGCCTAACCACAAGGCCACCAACGCCACAAAAGGGAGGAGATGCTCCTTGGGAGACATAAGGAGCTTAAAACAAACTTTTAATCTCCTTAAGGAGACGAAGAGAAACAAATAACAAAAGGTCAGGGGTGGGGAAACCCCCCACTCCGTTCCGCCAACAATAAGGAGATATCGTTTACAGTGCAAGTCCCCGGATCTCTAGTGCCACGGTGCGATCACTGGCTTATCACGTAACAGATACAGCGCGCAACTTGAAACAACCCAGACACGGCGGGCCAGCTACCAGAACACAATGAAC